GTGAGTGTTGTGTGAATGAAGGGGTGAGGATGATTTGGGTCCCCCCCTGAGTCCCAGAGCGATGTCCAGCAGTGGTTATGCTTCTTGATATTAAAAAAAAAAAATTTGCTGTATACAAATTTTGAACCTCCGTCCCTTCCCCACCCGTTTAGGTTACCATCATTTGCTTTCTAGAAGAGTGAGCCTCCAAAAAGAAAATGATGGTAACCTACATGCCAAGTACACAATAAAACACAAGTAATAAGTCTCACCTGTCCATGAGCAGATGTCCTTCATTACAGCGAATGTCTGTCCACACGTCCCAGAGATCTGTGTGGTCCAAACACATCTCTTATTCTGTAGGGGAAACGTATAAAAAATAAGACACAGTAATACAATAAAGACAGGTATTGTCTACATATGAAATTAAAGCTATATAGTGTGAAAAATATAATGCAAAGCCTATTATACTTAAATACTGCTGTATCAGTAATCATTTTGGTTCAATCTACTGTTCTTCTCAGTTTAGTTCCGATGACAGAATTAAATTACTGTTTTACATGTCACAAAATTATAAGAACACTGAATAGAAAACTCTCTTTCAGTTTGACTGTTGACAAAACAAAACAAATGTTTGTTGGTTCTCTGGAATATTCACATTATTTTGATCTTGAAAAGTTATGGTCAGTTTTTAGTTCATCATAAACAATTAATAAAGTAAAACAAGAACAATAACAGGTCAGTAGTTAACAGCAGATTATTGCCTAGAGCAAGACTACAACAACACAGAATAATACAAGATTCCTATTTCACAATATGAATATTAGAAGGCTATTTATTCGTTATTTTAATGGTCTAACAGAGAGTTCAGCAAGAGAGCAGCATGTAAACAAAGACTGATAAACTTTCATAGAAGCTTCATAAACCTTCCTAAGCAAGTAGCTATTTTAAACAGTAGATTTTAAGCTAAACAGTAGATTTTAAGTTAAAGACACCCTCGAAATAATGACTTACAAATAAAAAAGGACTAAATGAGAATACTGCAAGAGAAGTGAAGAGTATGATGAAGGTACTTACAGGTGAGAAGCGTGACGCTCTTTATCGCATTACGCGTCGGTTTTATTTGTCGAAGAGCTGAAATATGTGTTGTTTAGTGACATTAAGATATTGTCACTGAGCTGTCATCTGCATAAGATGTGTTTAAAACGGTCTGCACGTGTTGTTTGAACAAGCGTCATGTTGTCAAACTGTCAAACTGACCGTAAAGCCGCTTACGCCGCCTAGTGGCGCGGACGGAAAATTACATTTCAGTTTCTAGTTTTAGTCGCAGATAAAAGATCTGTCTGTGATTTAAACTTCATTTATTTTACAACAAAAACATGATTTTATTAGTGTCTCGACCAGCAGATTAACATGGACCTACTAGTTTAGATAACCCAGATCAAGCTCTCAACTGATGGGGTAAAACAGATGAAGTGTGGTATTGAACTGGAAAGCACATGGTCAAAGTGTAAACACACATTAAATATAGAACAAACGATTCTCCGAGACTCTATTAATTTGGTGAAGTAGATGTTATTTGTTCTGATTGATTTAAATGAATGTGTATCATGTCTGTTCACAGTTAAACAATGATTTCAATGTGGGTCCCCCCCTGAGTCCCAGAGCGATGTCCAGCAGTGGTTATGCTTCTTGATATTAAAAAAAAAAAATTTGCTGTATACAAATTTTGAACCTCCGTCCCTTCCCCACCCGTTTAGGTTACCATCATTTGCTTTCTAGAGGGGTGAGCCTCCAAAAAGAAAATGATGGTAACCTACATGCCAAGTACACAATAAAACACAAACACAAGTAATAAGTCTCACCTGTCCATGAGCAGATGTCCTTCATTACAGCGAATGTCTGTCCACACGTCCCAGAGCTCTGTGTGGTCCAAACACATCTCTTATTCTGTAGGGGAAACGTATAAAAAATAAGACACAGTAATACAATAAAGACAGACATTGTCTACATATTGTCTACATATGAAATTAAAGCTATATAGTGTGAAAAATATAATGCAAAGCCTATTATACTTAAATACTGCTGTATCAGTAATCATTTTGGTTCAATCTACTGTTCTTCTCAGTTTAGTTCCGATGACAGAATTAAATTACTGTTTTACATGTCACAAAATTATAAGAACACTGAATAGAAAACTCTCTTTCAGTTTGACTGTTGACAAAACAAAACAAATGTTTGTTGGTTCTCTGGAATATTCACATTATTTTGATCTTGAAAAGTTATGGTCAGTTTTTAGTTCATCATAAACAATTAATAAAGTAAAACAAGAACAATAACAGGTCAGTAGTTAACAGCAGATTATTGCCTAGAGCAAGACTACAACAACACAGAATAATACAAGATTCCTATTTCACAATATGAATATTAGAAGGCTATTTATTCGTTATTTTAATGGTCTAACAGAGAGTTCAGCAAGAGAGCAGCATGTAAACAAAGACTGATAAACTTTCATAGAAGCTTCATAAACCTTCCTAAGCAAGTAGCTATTTTAAACAGTAGATTTTAAGCTAAACAGTAGATTTTAAGTTAAAGACACCCTCGAAATAATGACTTACAAATAAAAAAGGACTAAATGAGAATACTGCAAGAGAAGTGAAGAGTATGATGAAGGTACTTACAGGTGAGAAGCGTGACGCTCTTTATCGCATTACGCGTCGGTTTTATTTGTCGATCTGTTGGAAGGGATCTACAATGATGACTGTAGCGCTCAACTCCAGTCTTGGGACCCACAGTGCTGCACATTTTGTTTGTCTCTCTAATCCGATAGACTCAGATCAGTTCATGTAGCTTTCTGAAAATGCGTTGGCAATAAAATTTAAAAGTAACATTTTTAATTTTAAAGTAAAATGTGCAGTGCTGGACCAGAATCAAGAAATACAGGTTTGCAGGCAAACAGAATCATAGAAGAAGGTCCACCCATGAGGATGAGTGTGTCATCTGGAGATGGAGGAAGGTGGTTCTTCTTAACTGCTGTTTATGGGTCTGTCCCAATACCCACACTTGTGGTCTAGTCCACTTGAAGCTCATTGTCCTTAATGGACACTACATTCACAGCTCTAATACTGCATCAGGGCAGTATTTAAGGTTAAGCATAACCCATCAAAATCAAGAGATGTCAAGAAAAACAGTGTGCGTAAAATTATTTAAATATTTATATATTTATATTTAATTTGGTAGCTGCTTTTTATCACTTAATTAGAAGCATCACAATTACTAAATTGTGTGGTCTGTTGAGCTGACATTTAAAAGTTTATTTTAAAGTGCAAACTTTTAAAAATCAAAATGTGTAAATAAAGCTCTGTGATTTGACCAATGCTCAAATGCAGAGATTGCATGTGTTGGTTTTGGGAAAGACCCTATTTATGTATGTTGCCTTCTGATGATGACTGGTTGATTATTAATGTCTGGTTGAAGTTGAGTAAGTCACCTAAACTGGGGTTGTTAATTTGGCTAAACAGAATCTGCACAAGCATGAGGCTCTTACCGTTTGGATCGACCCCCTCTAACTCAGAACATTGGAGATAGTCGTCTTCTGTCTGTCTGAGAAAACCAAAAGGTAGTGGGAATAATTCTTAGTTTTAAATAATTCAGGTGGGACTGCAAATTATTTTGATACTGTAAGTCATGTAATGTGTCGACGTCATCTTTTACATACAAGTAGTGATGGGAAGCATGGAACTATTCAAAACTCTCTAACAATTTAAATAAATCACTGATTTACAAAATGATTGACTGTAGCAGCTGAGGACACCCGCTAAATGCAATAAATAAAGTCCAAAATGACACCTTTTACAAACTGATTGTGAATGTTTTCACATGAAAGTGTAATCTATTTAATGTAATCTACAAATCATTAAATATCATTAAGATAAAGTGTCTGTATCATTTGTGTTGTTTTATTAATATCACTCTCCATTTTTTATGTTTGTCACTAAACTCAAGCCTAAACTATAAAACTGACCCGAGATCAGTTAAAACACAGAAATATTTAAAAATATAATGAAGCCTTGTTGTATGGAAATCAAGTGACTTGGCCACTGATTCAATTGAAAGATTCATAAAAGATTCAAAGCTTCATGAACCAATGTTTCAAAAGCATCTGGCACTACATATAAGAGCTGCTGGCTCACCTGTGTTTGATTGCGGTCTTTTCTTGATCACACTGCCCCATTCCAATCTGTGCTCTACTTTCCTATTAAAAAAAGAATAATGACATTTCTCATATACTGTAGAAACAATGTTATTTCATACAAGTAAGGGCAGACAATTTGCTAGAAAAGATTAGGTGATTTATTCAAATGTCCAAGAAATTAAGTGATCTATGTAAAAAAAGCCAATATCAGTGGCTCAGGAGATAAAGCATTGTGTTGAGTTCAAATCCCACTATTGCTTAGATTCAATTGTTGTCAAACTTCCCTAAACACCAGGTTTCAGTGTGAGAGCCATGGTGGTGCAAGCGGCTAAACAGACGTTCTCTGTCAATAAAGCTGTCATGAGAACAAGGGTTCAAATCCCACTTCAGCATGTTGTGATTGCGATCACCCAACAGAGAGACTCTGCCAAAGCATTAGCTGGTTTATAGTAAAATCAAAGGTGAATGATCAAATACTGTATAAGTTCCTTCATATATGCAGACAAAATATCTGTGGCTCACTGGTAAGAGCGCTGCCTCACGGTTCAGTGTTTGCTAGTTTGATCCCAGCGAGATCTCTGTGGTATGAAGGAGTGGGGATGAAATAGGAGAGACTTGGCCAAAGCTTTAACAGGTTTATTGTAAAATCACATACAGGTGAACAGTGAAATATAAGTTCCAGCACATGTTCAAATAAGAGATCTGTGGCTCACTGGTAAGAGCACTGCCTCAAGGTTCAGAGGTTGCTGGTTCGATCCCAGCCAGATCTCTGCGATATGAGTGCCAAGTAAAAAAAAAAAGAGAAACACAAGTAATAAGTCTCACCTGTCCATGAGCAGATGTCCTTCATTACAGCGAATGTCTGTCCACACGTCCCAGAGCTCTGTGTGGTCCAAACACATCTCTTATTCTGTAGGGGAAACACATAAATAAACCGACATTAATCCATATAGTATATCTAAAACATAAGAATTTAAAACTTAGTCAAAATCAGTGGTGAATATAAGTAGTGTAATATAATATATAATTTATTCTAAAGATCTGAGAAAGAGTTCAGCAAGAAAGCAAAATGTAACCAAAGTCTGTGATTAAACTTCATGGAGGATGTGTCTGCCTTCATACATAGTTAGTTGCCAAAAACAGTTTTACTTAAACAACAGATTATAGAATAATAATTAGATTCTAGTGTTGACAAAATTCAGAGCTTCTTTCTTCATGTAAAACAGACCAGAAATACTAATGCCTCATCCTACACAACATTCCCAGCTATTTTAATGTATATTTTCAGCTGTTTTTTGTCCAATCAAATGCTCTTTAGCAAATCACAACTGACATAACTAACACCAATTTTATATTTAAATTAGTGAGATGAGTACGATAATAGTACTGTCAAACCATGATCTTTGTCAAGATGTTAATATAAAACATAAAGATAACCTTTTCACAATTTTTTTTATCTCATTTTTAAATTAAATTATATCGTCCTGCAGTGTGAGGCAGTTTTTTTAAAAGTACAAATACTTTTTGTAGTCTCTCAATTAGAGATGTGAAAGCATACATACCTTTATCGTCTCTAATGTGAAGTTTCCAGGGGCGCCTTGTGCACTTAATTTCATTCTGTTGAAAAAGGTAAAGAGTGTGTGAATGTAGTAAATGCAGCTTCATTCAAATAATCCAGCAAAAACAAATTCTTTATAACATACACTTAAATTAACTAAGACGGGTGCCCTGTTGTTACATATAAGAAGAAACTGACATAGAGAAATCTATAACTAATAGTTGCTGTTCATTAAATGTTTGTGCGAGAACATACCTGGTGCTCATGCACATTGGCTGATGTAAAACAGGTTCATTTACTTCAAGAAATAATCTTATTAGACCATTAAGAGTGCAAGTTATGATATTTATTTGTACATCAAAAAACTTTAATTAAAATATAGCTGCAATCAGCAATTAAGAGGCCAAGTACAACAAAGGCAAACTGAGGAGCTAAGCATGGCAAGAAGCATCAGACCAACTAAAACAAAGAGTAGTTAAAGCTATTTTAAGTTGATTTTAGTCAAAATAGTTAAAAATCATAAATTACATCACTAGTAATATAACTTACAGGTTTATCATTTTTGACAAATAGGTGGCACGGTTACCAAATTAATGTGGTGTGGTCAGTGTGAGGTGACAATGGACCAAAGTGAAAATTGAACTAATGGTCTAGGAGGAGTTTGAAAAAGTAACTTTTCAAAGAAAATCAAAATGACAGACAAGACGTTTGACTGATTATGTCATTATTTTATCATATCTCCAGACCACTAGGTGGCACTGTGCCAAATCTGTGAAGGAATCTTCAGGTCATGGTTGTTATAACACACTCCAAGTTTAGTTTACATACGCTAAAGGGTTGCGGAGATATAGCCTCACATCCATTTTGGCATGCTCTTCATCAAATTCATTAATGTGTTATTCCAGAACAATTTAACTAATCAACTTGAATTACATAACTTTTTGCCAGTGTGATCTGAAGACAATCTGACCCAATTTTGGTGAAAATCCCACAAATCATCTAGGATGAGTTCGAAAATGTATTTATTGATTTATTTTTGATTAAATCAAAATTGTGAAAAATCTTGACCTGTAAAAATTGAAATTTCGGTATGCATTCGACTCGAATGAGTCACGAAATCACAGGGGAAAAAAAATCACTTCTAGACTTTACAATTCAAAAGTTATTAGCATAAACATAAGTGTAACTTTGAACTGGTGGGGGGAGCTAGAGGGTTTGAGTTAGAGTCTCCAAATCTGCTATGGTTAATATTGAGACTGTCCACACTGTGTTGCAAATTTCATTACTTTCCCGCAAGCAGTTCTATGGGCCCAAGGCAGCATTAGAGGTTACTGAAATGTACTCTTTAATCTTAAATATGTGTGTTTATTAGTGTCCGCCCACTTTTCAGTGGCATTAGTTACAGAAGCATTTTGCTTTGGATAAAAGTGTCTGCTAATTTAATTAAATTTTTTTTTTTTACATTTATGCATTTGGCAGATACTTTTATCCAAAAGGACCGGATTGCATTCAAGGCATACGTTTCATCAGTTTCTAGTTTCCTTGGGGAAAAAAACCCCACAACCTTGGTGTTGCTAGTGCTATGCTCTACTGATTGAGCTGCAAGACTCATTCATTTTTCTTCATTAAAGCATTATATCAACCAGCTACAGGGTAATTCACAACAATACAAACTTTTTTGAGGCCAAACATTATTTCAGAATTGGACAAAAAGACACAGGTACAAGACTGTGTACTTAATAGCTTATAATGAAGGAAAGAACTACAATCCCATGAAGCATTTAGAATGACATAATCAACCTGCTACTCTATCTATTTGGAAGAACTGGATTTCCATAGCCTCGAAGATTTTGGTCATTTGATCTAATGATGTCATTCTGTTGTTAATATTATTACCAATTCTGTTTGTATATATTTTTATATATTTATTTGATTTTATATTGTTTTACTTTTGTGTTTATCTGGGTCCTGGGGTGCGATG